TATTTGATTGTCTTGGATTTTCCGCAGTTTGCTGACCATCAGGACAACTCGTTGGCTCCTCAAAGGCGGCATCCGACTCATCGGGATCCAAATCAGGCTCATCGGGATCCGTATCCGGTTCATCGGGATCCGTATCCGGCTCATCGGGATCTGTATCCGGCTCATCAGGGTCTGAGTGCCCTCCTTCTGGGGCTATATCTGTGTCAGGAATGTAACTCATCAGATCCTGAACTGATTCTGGCAGCTGTAATTTCTCATAGAGAGAATTTTTCTCTTTTAACCAGCGCAGCGCTTTGATTACTTTGTTAAAATTTACTACTGATTCCCAGATTTTCCTGTTTTTTGTCGGCAACCCTCGGACCAGTATGTACAACTCTTGGTTGGGTAATACTGTGCGGTCCGATTGAAGAACTCTGCCTAAGTTCGCTTCAAGCGGCAAAGGGAGATGGAACGTTCTGCCGATCACCTTAGAGTTCAAGTTCACGGTAGGTATCCGCTTGTTCATGACAGTGCCGGCCTTCACGACAACCTGGAACGCTTTGACGAGCTGTATGAACATTCTTTCGAAGCTGTTCAGATCTGCTATCTCCGGTGGGGCCTGAAAAGCCTCCATCTTGTTGATGATAGCAATAGGAGGAACTTTATTAGCTTTAATTTTCTTCTGACAGTACTCGCAGATGAACTCGACGCAGGCATCGCGAGCGATGGCATGAGCGTATATTTCGTCCCAAGTTTGATTGTTTATTTGCTTGATGTTGCTGACCTTTTTCAAACTTCTCCGAAAAAGAATTCTATCGCAACTGAAGCAAGAATCGAGGGGAAGGTCCTGCATTGTCTGTTCATAAGCCTTGAAACTTTCGATATACGTGTTCCTGATGGCATCCTCAGATTGAAATTGTTTGTTGCCTAAATTGAACTCTCCGCCTTTCAACTTGGCAGCCTCAGCTACGGTGGTGAGCGTTGTCACGTCTCCACTGTACAGAGCGTGGTCCAGCTCATCTATTTTGGTCAAGGCTCGCTTCAAAGCTTGTAGCTGACGTACAATGGACCGTAACTTGGGGAAATGAGGCATGTGATTCTCTAGAAAAACAAACGGGGCTCCGTTGCCATTTTCCTCTCTGCAAGGCAATGTATGCCCCGACTGAACAGCATCACGGCACACGCTGTTACCGCAGTCTTTCATGCTGAGAAGAAAGTGGACCATATATCTCAGGACAACAGTGCGACTGAGGGTCGTGAGAATTTTTTCCACCTCATGTGTCAAACTGGCCTCGTCCAACTTACAGACTGCGTCGCAAGACCATGAGTAACTTTTCTTGTGCCGCTCCCAGTACAAGAATACATTCATTGCTTTTCCGTCTTGGACGATGAGAGGTGAACGCGCAGAATCTGCTGTTTTGTAGTTGATCTCATGAAAATAGCCTTCTGTTGATGAAGTGTGTAGTTTTGTACCGAGCATGGCATCGTAGCGATCGATATCTTTCGAGACGCTCCTAGCCACCAGAAGCCGGGTTTCGCACTCGGATGTCAAGTCCTTGTGCATCTTCTGAAATTGAGCGATCAACCTCTTTCGATGTATCATACACCATTTGACGAGGGATCTGGCCTCTATTCGCGCACTGACTTTAGAACCTTTGAAGCGACCGGAGAGATCTTTGATTATTTTACCTTCCGTGTGCAACAAGTGAAAAACGTTCTTTCTCAGTCTATCTCTTCTCGAATAAACTTTCAACTTTTTGAGAGTTTTGTTGTAGATCCGCTCCTCGTGTACTTCTGTTGCTCTCTGTTGTTGTCTGTTGATGTTTCTTCGAGAACCGCGAGACCTGAGAAGTGAACGTTTCCCCGTCGTTCTGCCCCTGTGACGATGCGCCGAACGCTGTTTTCTTGTTTTTCGGGTGGAAGCAGGGTTCACTGCGGTTGGAACGTTGGGTGAGACGATGTGAGAGTCACATGCATTCAAATCTTGATCGTCTCTATTCGTCAAACAGACACCTTTGCTTTCCCTGCGACTCCTTTTTTCTGCTCTGTTGGGAGGAGAGACTGGTCGGTTCTCGGGGCAGAAATCAGCGCCATTTTTTTTGGAAGAAATGGCATCTTTGTTTCGGCCGCGGCCGACATGTTTCCCTCGGACTCGTTTACCTGGTGGTTTATTCTGCTTCAACAGTGCAGCACTAGAAAACCTTTCTTCCAGTTGTGCTTTCATGGTCTCATCATTCAAAAATTCATTGTACAATTTTTGATAGGCAGCTTTGTCAAAATTCCTGCGGTACAAAGTTTTAGAATGAATTACTCGATGCCTCACTTTCTTTTGGTGCAAACGGTCCTTACGCTGACTAGAGGCAACCGCGGTTGAGAGAACAGTTTCTGATGTAGAAGGCGTACTAGGAAATGTTGTTGGATTGTTACAATGAGCCCTGCACGATTCCACTGTTGAGGAACAACTCGTAAAGTTCCTTTGTGAAACATTCTCAAGGTCGGACTGCTGAGGAAGACTTGCAGTAACAGGAGGTAGAGGCGACAAGCCGTTCCCATCATCCTGACTTTGTTGAAGCCTATCTTTTTCCAAAGGAGAAAGAGACAGCCTCTTTCTTACAGGAGAGCCAGGCAGTTGCTCAACAGAGATTTTTGCTGCGTCAGCCTGAACTCCAATTAAGGTTTGGTGATGACGCCTTTTCATCCCTTTGGAAAATGATTCTTCCGGAACTTCAGAAGAATCTGGTTTCTCTTGTTCATTAGATGAGGGTGCAATTACTTCGAAAGTAATGACGTCGCCATCATCAGATTTATGATAAGAAACGTCTTTACTTTGACTCTTATTAGTTAACCTTTTGTGCTTGTATATTCTTCGTTTTCTGATTTTGCTTTGTTTCTGAAAGTTGACATTTGAGGAATCAAATTCGCGACTCAGCTCATCAGGATTTTTGACACTGTCTCCTTCCTCTGAGGGGCTGCCGAGGCCGTTCATTTTATGCTTTCTCTGCTTAGAGGAATTCCTCAGTTGTAATTTCCTTTTGTAACTCTTACGAACCATTTTGAAGGACGGTATTTCCTAGCCGTAAATTATTTAATATCAGGGAAGATAATTATAATGTTACCATACAATCCGTTCACTTGAGAGAAATATTAGGGGAGTTAATTTAGCGTTACCATCAGATACGTTTTTTTCAGTAGTTGAGAATATCAGAAATGTATGAAACGGTAACTTTAAGCCGTGACAAGAACTCCCCTGAGTTTGATAAAATGATCAAGTAAATGTAGAAAGACAATTCTCTTTTTCGGAAGTGGCCAAAATGTGAAAATCTGGCCGAAGTACACTGAAAATCTACCTTGATGCAAATAAAATGGTCCAAGGGAGTTTAAAACTCAACTGCGAAAACAGGATGCATACGAAGGGATCAGAGTATCAAATTCCTGTAGGAAATAATTTAAAACAGAGTATGAAATTTCTTCAGAACTCCTTTAAGGGGTCAAAGAGAAGATTTCTCCATTTTCATCCTGGCCAGGAAGTGGATGTTCGTCAGAAGTTTACTCGTCCACTTTGCTTACACAAACAGAGTAATTACCAGGAATTCAAAACTCGACTCGTAGAACTGTGTAACGTAAGGAATTGGATGTGATGCGAGTTTCCTAAGAGATAAAATGTACTTATTAGGCCACTAGCCTGACAATAAAGAGATGGTAGCTCGATTTATTGACAAGGCCTGGACGTCTCGGAAAGAATTAAATAGCATCCGTAGTAGCACAAAGAGAACACGTCTCAATTTGTGAAATGGAGGCAAAAGTGGTAATACATATTCTACATTTATTGGTACAAATAGTAATTACCAGGAATTCAAAACTCGACTGGTAGAACTCTGTAGCGTAAGGAACTGGACGTGATCCGAGTTTCCTTAGAGATAAAATGTACTTAATAATAGGCGACTAACCTGACAATAAAGAGATGGTAGCTCGATTTATTGACAAGTCCTCGAGGTCTTACAAAGAATTAAATGGCATCCTTAGTATCACAAAGAGAACAGGTCTCGATTTGTGAAATGGAGGCAAAAGTGGTAAGACAAATTCTACATTTATTAGTACATAATGCTTCTAGAAATCAAGAAGTCAACTAAGCAAAAGGTTTGGTGCATGGAAGTTTCAGATTATGAAATTTATTCAAAACTCCTGGATGTACACAAAGAGAAGATTTCTCAATTTGTGATTCCACCAGAAAATGGATGTTTGACAGATGTTAGGTAACTCATGCACTTCCCTTACGCAAACTTGGTAATTACAAGGAGTTGAAAACTCGACAGGTAGAACTAAGTATGTTGCGCAAGAAATTGAATGTGGTATGAGTTTCCTTAGGAATACAAGGTACTTACAGGGCCACCAGGGCGACGATAAAGAATTGCTAGTTTCGATTTATCAACGAAGCCTGGGACTCAAGGAACAGACATGAGCTGCAATTTTTTAATGAAATATTTAGTACAATTCCTGGGTGAAACCTGAGGCTCGAAGGAGCGTAAAAGCATGAGAATATCAATGAATTCAAGTGCGACCGGATATATGGATGCAAAGAAAAAATGTAGGAAAAATTATTATTTAATGTTTTATTTAATGTTGAATAAACAAGTCTGGGTCGATCTTTATGTCACTTTCACTTCAGCCACGGGATCAGCTCGGCGTAAATTCGTTAGGAAAGAATGATTGAACCATTGAGACTGAAAGAGGAAGAGACGTTCTTTAGTTCTTATAGGTTAAACGGATTGTTTTGCTTGTTTTGCTTCTAAGGTTGGACTGTTGGACCGTCAATGCAGCGTGTTTGATTCTTGAGGATTGTGTACCCTGTGACGTAGGTCGGTACAACCTGATCAGCAAAATCTGGAATTCGAAGTATAAAAAACGGACCATAACGTCCCATTTTTTCCGTTAAATCAACTCATGATATAATTTCAAACACTTTATGTAGAATGAATTTTTTTCATGAACTACACCATTTCCAAGAAAATCGATGATAAAAGTCTCGGTACCGACCTACGTCATCAAACAAATTCCAAGATGCCTGAAATGCAAATACCTCCTTTTTTTCTCTAAGGCCCCAAGGCCCCAGCCGAGCCAGCAGCAGTTCCGCCCTCATGAGAAGCGGGAATGAAAGTTTGTACCAGTACGATTTTGGAAAATGATGAAAAGGCACATGTTTTAACCAATTGTGCGCTTAACTAATTTCAGCCTGAATTATAATTTTTAATTTCAGGGATAGTTAATCTGGAATTTCTCGGTTTCGCTTCGTGTGTGAACAGTGTTGAGTGTTTCATTTCTTAGGAATATTGAGACAGTGTTGGCAAAAGTGTCGGACTTAAATTTGCGCCAAAACCGAGGGTTAGCGTTAGCGAAGTTGTGCTTGTGATTGTGGATGTGGTGAGTAATTTGCTAAGTCCAACTCCAAAGAAGTCTGACGAGGAAGTGTAAGAATGAGACGCTTTAAGCACATTTTGTTCGAAGATGTAAGTATGCTCGAATCATTTTCTCTTATCAGAGTATACAAGTGCAACACTATCCTGCCGTAAGTTGCAGTCTGAACTTGGGAGTCTGTGAATCGTACCAGGCTTAACAACATGGTAACCAAGGCTATGGGTCGTGTCCAATTGACGCAAAATGTTCTCTATAGAGGTATAAATGGACGCTTTTCTGCCAAACAGAACTATGTGCATTATGACGTGAGACCCGTCATGCATAACTTGCGCGGATGAGGCCATGGCCGTTCATTATATTCGAATGGATCTCAGGGTTCAATGTCTCAACGCACATAGTTTCGTTCGACAGAAATATGTCCATATTGGTAGCGATAACTTTAAAACGCTGAAATAACATCAACAATAACCAACTCATAAAACAAATTGGCCACTTGTATCAGTATGTGACACATGAATCAGAGGCGAGACCTGGACAAATTTCTACTGAGCGGAACTAGTGAAAGTGAGAAATACAGGGATTGCTTGTGGTAAGCTGAATTTGAAATACTGTTACAGTTCGTCTAATTCCTCTTGGGGAATTGGAAAAGCAGGATTGTCTATACTTCCACTTAATGGAGGTATCTGCCAACTGTATGTGGGACTCATGAGCTGTGGCCATGGGGAAAGAGCATCATGGACAGGGCTTGTTAGTTGAAGCTCTTACTGGGCTCGCGCTGAGAACGACTAAACCATGAAATCCCTGCTGCTTCATAAATAATTCCTGTTCACTCTTACGCCCTGAGAAGTGTAATTAAGACACCCCTTCTTTCTCACTCGCACATAGTTACGTCCAGTGGAAGTAGGTACAAATACATAATGCTCGAGCGGTGCGTTGACTCTAGTAGCAGTAAGGATGACACAGAGAACAGAAATATTGATTTCGAAGAAATGCATTTGTACTTAAGAGAGTTTCTGTGAATATAGAGATATTTTGAGGATTAACATCTTGCTTGGAGGAATGGAAGTTCATATTTGCTACTTTTCTCAAATCTTAAATGCCCAAACCAAGTTGATTATGTAAGTTTTTCAAGTGGAAGAATGATTCAGATCTTTTTATTTTCCTGGCTTCTATTCAACTATGTTTGATGTTTTGTTATGTGTTTACTATAGGAACACAAAGCCGCACACGAGCACTTCAAAAGGTGCACAAATATTCAGCTCGATATAGAGGAAGAAGTTCCATTAATCATCATTAGTTCCTTGATCGGTAAGCTCCAAAATAAAAGCATATGTTTATTCTCCCTTTCAGAACAAAGTGGTTGTTGTTGCAATCCTTATTTGATAGTATTGGTGTATTTTTACCTGTCGAGTTTTCTTATTATTATTTCTTTTCCAATGAGTAACACTTTGAAGGCAAGAAATATTATCAGAACCAGTCAGAAAGGCACGGCTCAACCTGGTAGTAACGTGCTGACAACAATTTAAGTATGAAAATCGCCAGCCCCCCCCCCCCCCCCCCCCCACCCACTCCTGTGCAAGGAGATGTGGAATCTGAAAGCAATGTCTCTCATTTCTAAAACTTTTTGACAATAGTGGGATCAAGAATTTGAACGGCGGCAACGTCTAAATGGAGGAATGAAGAAGGAGTAACATATTCGTTTTAAACGGTTGCAGGATCTTGAATGAGAACAGTATAATGAACGCAAAGATTGAAGAAATTCTTGATAATTTTTAAGAGGGTTATATTTTAAGATAAGATTGTAGACTCTCATATGCAGACAATTGCCCTTTTTCACCTGTACGACTGTGAGTTGTTTCCACGTTTAGTTTAGAGGGATTTCTTCCATCGTACGAAAAGTAGCATTCTACGGTTTCAAAGCAGCGAGAACCTGTCTATCATGAGTGGTGAAAGCCACATAAGGCGGTTCTGTCATGTCTGTGCAATGAATTATTTTTTTTTTCTTTTTACTTTTTTACAGCGGAAGGACATTCTGATAAGAAAATAAAGGCCATCCTCAAGCCTGAAAATGCAAGTGGCCCAGCAAGCACTACAGAAACTGCTCCAGCAGTCCAACAAGCAGTTCAACAAGCAGTTCAACAAGCAGTTCCACCACCTTCAGTTTTGCCCCCCGCTGCAATGGTAATTTTTTGGTTTATTAAGATATTAAGATTAATCAAGGAGGCATCTCCCCTCAATGATGGCAGCTATATAAGAGGATGGAACTCAGAGACTTAAAAAAAATTATAGTCATATACTTCGGCAACCCTCCGAACTTAAGTTCAAAGTAAAGGAGGAAAAAATGAAGGTGGGATTGTGCCTTATAGAAAATTAAAAGAGTTGTTTTTAAGGAATAAAATCCTTCATATTTTTTAAGTAATCACGGAATCCCTTCTCACACGAATGGGTAACGTCAAGACCCCCATGGATCCTGTCCCAATAAATTGTCATTTGCACGAAGACAGAAAAAGGAGAGAATGTATCGTAAAATTCCTAATTTTGGACTAATTACTTTCCACAGTGTGTTAAATTTTTTTCTCTTTATTACACATGGTGTCTGCCTCTTCGAAAAAACTTCTTGATTGATATTTTTCCTTTTACAAATCATATCTTGAAAATTGGATTTAAAGCTCTCAATGCACAGAATTCATGCCTCTTGCCATAGAAATTTCACCCGTCAATAAGTAAAATTCGCATAAAGTGGATGATGTGATGTTTTTCTGATGAGCTGTTTACCCAAAGGGGCGAGACAGCATTTCTAATTCGAGTCTACATTTTAAAATTGAATGTTATAATTTATCAGTATCAGGTTTGCCGAAAAGTCGCCTTTGTTTCAGGATAAAATTGTTTTCTTGGGTGATAGTATCTTTCGACGCACGCAAAATACGGCTTCCTTCAAAGCATTATTTGATAAGCAATGTGTGGTGAACCTAGCTGTCTCAGGAAGTACGATAGCTGGAGGTCTGGAAACATTGTTCCGTTACATAAGCTCAGTCGATGTGTTTTGGGGGTCATCGAATTTAGTAATTCTTCTGGGAACTAACGATTTCTTAAAGAATAGTAAATTCGATTACCCCAACTACGATCGACTGATCAGCACTGCTGCACCTCTTTTCCGACAAGTGATCCTTCTTGACATTCCTCCGATCCCGAAGAAACCTCTACTGGCCGAGAAAATCAGAATAGCTAACACATGGATCGCTTCACAGGCTTGTAGAGGTTTCCAAGTCATTCAAAGTCCCAGAAGTGTCGGTAAAGATCTTGTGCACCTGAATGAAAGAGGGATGCAAGCGTTAGGCTTGTCTGTCTGGGAATCTCTGTTTGAAAAGGTTCGTACTCACCTGAGAATTATTTCTATCGTTGACACTATCTTAAACTCTAACTTGAATAAACATCAGGGCCCTCTTCACCACTTCCTGCATTTGAATGATAAAGATGTATACATCAACAGATTTTCATTGTTTAATTGTTTTCCAGGCGTATGGCAGGATGCCCATGTACTACCCACAATACCCTCAATACTACCCAAACAATTGGCCAACCAATTGGCCAACCAATTGGCCGCAAGTTGCAGCACCCCCACCACCGCCACCACAGCAAACCATAGTTCAACAGGGCGAACGCAGCCGCCAAGTAGGCGAGAAGGAAAAAAGATTTCGTGAGGTACTCAATTTAAAGATATTTTTAGACAATTGCATGGAATCGCGGTTACAGAATTGAGTATTGAGTAATAAGAATTACAAATCATCATGGCAAAGGGTACTTGATTTTCTTTCTTTCATTGCTCTGCCTGAAAACAAATTGAACATGTTTCTGCCTAACAGAACTATGTGCATTATGATGTGAGGCCTGTTACTACTGTTATACATACATTTTTATGGATTTCAGGGCTCATGTCTTAAAGACATAGTTGTGTTTGGCAGAAATACGTTCAATTCTTGCTTTGATTATTTAATTCTTTTCAGACTGATAGATAGCCATATGGAATGATTTTCTGATTCTTTGAAGAGGAGGTTGTCTCAAGACACCTTGTACACGCTTTCGTAACTGAAGAACTTTAAGAAAGTGCAGAAATGAATGATAAAAAACTGATATTTTGCATGTCAAGATGTGACACTGGTCGAAAAAGGGAAAATAGATGGGCATTTGGAAGTTGATCGGAATGTATTTCTTAGAAGTAAGTCTGTAACCCATCAACTCTTCAGAAAAATGAAGATTAAAATCTAAAAGAAAGAAAGGCAGATGATGCAGAGAAATGTAGGTTATTTTCAGGTTTGGCAATGATAATTACGTAGACAGGTCTGATACATGGCCAGCGGATTGTTTCTGTGTTGTTCATGATAAGAGGGTTTTCCTGATCGAGCGGATTAATTGAACATATTCCAGGGTATATGGGGAGTTTTGTTGGCATTGGAACTGGTACAACTATTTCCATAATGCCGGTGGCTAATTGTGGTATTCTCACTTCATTTTTGACTGGTTATTTTGAAAATGACGAAAATTACTTAATTTTTGACTGGTTATTTTGGATATGAGGAAAGTTAAAGAAGAAAATGAACTTATGAAGTTTTGAAATTGTTGGCAGACTTATAGTAGTTGGGTGTCATAAAATAGTGAAAAGAGGCTTCTAGAGAAGTGAGGAGTTATTTGGGAACCAGGAAAAAATTCAGAATTCACAAAACCAAGAGTGGAAATTGTTCATAACTGCAAAGTTGAAAGAAAATCGATTCTCTCACTTATTCAGAAATTGACGAGACAAGAATAATTTGCACCCTTCTGTGTGAAAAAAATCATATCATATTGATTACATTACTCTGGTTGGCCCTTGAAACACATTTTAAAGTCGATGACAAACTTTAACCCTCTTTGTTTTCTTTTTCATATGTTTCAGAGAAGCTCCTCAAGAAGACAGAAGTAGACTGTGTCCAGACAAGTCCGGAATTTCCAGATTCGGAATTAGTACTCATTTTTTTTGCGGATTTTCCGCAAGGTCTGAAATTTTCTTAATTTTTTAGTAGAAACGACTCCATTGTTTCCTCTTTAATTTCTTCAAGACTGTGTCCAGACAAGTCCGGAATTTCCAGATTCGGAATTAGTACTCATTTTTTTTGCGGATTTTCCACAAGGTCTGAAATTTTCTTATTTTGATTTGTTTTTCTTTTTATAAAATAAAGGTACCTAAGTAAGGTGTGATAATCTATCTTAATGGGTGGCTATTGTTTTTTTTTTTGTTCATTCTCAGTATGCTTTAAGGTTGTTCAAAATTTTTGTCTAGATTTAAGATTGTTCAAAATTTTTGTTTGGAAAAATTTGTACCGTTGACAGATCTCATTATGTTGTTTTTGTATTAATATTTTTGACTGATTAACATACCTCATTAGAATTTTTTCTTTTAATAATGTTGACAGATTAAGGTGATTCGATGGAGGCTATATTTTGTGTCAGAACGACATGGGATCGCATAAATTAGTTGCATTTTTTCAGATACTCATCATTTTTCTAAAATTTTGAGATGGCAATTCCGTTGTCAAGAAACAAAAAGAATTCACTTCCCAATTCTGACAAACAAATCAAAATTAGGGAAGGCATGGTTTTTTCAGAGGAAAAATGATGCGTTTATTACGTTGAATTTGTTTGTCAAAATTGGTATATGAATTCTTTAGTGTCCTGATAAGAGAAGTGCGATCTCAAAATTCAAGACAGATGACGAGTAGGTAGCTGAAAAAAATGGAACCAATTGAAGCCATTTATTGCATGTTGCTCTGACACAAAACATGGGGTCCATCAAGTCACCTTAACAGCCATCATTATGTAGTTTTTCTATCAAGTCTTTCGTAGAGATTTTGTGTCTTTATTTAAAGGTTATTATATTTTGCCTCTAGTCTCTTATGCTGATGATGTTAATTTTTTTTGCCAAACCAAGCATATGTCGAAGAATAGCTTTGAAAAAAGCTATATAAGGACGTATTTCTGCTACAAAGCACCATGTCAGAGACGAAGCCACCAGAAACAGAGGTTTGAGAATGACTTCAGAGCGAAAAAGGAATTTGTCCTCTTGTCACTTCCCTTCTTTCTTTTCTCACTCACATTCTTCATGTTTTTCCCCCCTTTCTTCTTAAAAGTTATTTATTCCTCTACAATTTTTTTGTAATACCCATCAACCTTTCCTCCGCATACATACTTTCTCTTCTTTTTCGTTATCTTCTCATCTCTCCTCTACTCACTCATCCCTGTTTCTCTGCTCCTTCATGGTTTTTTCCTGGTCCTTCATAGTTTTTTCTTGCTCCTTCATCCTTCTTTTTCTTCTCCTCTTTTCGATTTGACGAGGTGAATGTCTGACGTACCCAAGTCAAGAGTCTCTTTATTATTCGATTGATATCTCTTTTCAAAGCTTTTCATGTAGATTTATGACTGTTTGGCATTTATTGAAAAATAGTTTTTTAATTACTAAAAGTTTCTATTTCTGATTAAGTGTCCTTATACTTAGTGTGTTTGTTCAATGAAGTAAAATTATTTTTCTATGGTTCCAAAAGATGTTTTTTCTTTTTTTTAGGGATCCTTTAATATTGTTTTTCCTTTTTGAAATTTTCAGAATTCTCTGAAACAGCCCCACTCGCAATTAATCGAGTTGTAAACTTCGTAAATAAGTTGGACTGCATTTTGAAAAAAGGAAGGAAGAGCATTTCCAATGTGGCTGAGAATGTGGACCTTTTTTACCTTGAAAATAAACTGATCATCTAAACAAGTTTCATTTTTACTCGAAATCAGCTCTAAGATCAAGACGAAAATTACTTCTGCAAATGCAATTTTTTATGATGGAGTATTTTTTTTCAATGAATATAAGTTGCAAAATCCTTCGAACATTGGAATGCACTTGGTCCCATTTTGCAAAGTGTACCTCATCCAGCTAATTGATAGGCAATGAAAAACTGAAGCATCCACTATCGGTGATCTTATGCTTTTCTTTTCCCTATTCAAGGGTGCAGTGCTAGAAAACTGTTATTGTACCAAATGAAGTCCCCCACTTGTGAATGATATAATGTTTAATTATGAAGTGGATATGTCCTTGCTGTGTAGCAAAGTTTCTCGGATCCGTCATATTTTTTTTTACACCCTTAGGTGTCATTTTTATTTAATCATCTTTAAGGTATTTCGACGAATAATAATTAATTGATGGATGGTAGAGGAAATTTTCTGCTGAAAGCTATGGCTGATTGACTTTACAACTAACTTGTGAGAGCATCAACCGAGGCTTCAGCAGAGAGTTATACATGGTAGGTGATAATTATTTCAAGGTTTTCTTATTACTTTAAACGGAGATGTGTTTTAAATTTCAAAATCTACTCCACTGCAGATATACCTACATGAAAAGAATCACTACATGAAATATGGGTGAAGTGCCCAAGCATATTGCAATGATATATATTCTAGTAAAATTGCTATTGACTGCAGAAAATTGTAATTTTTTAACTTGATATTGCAAAACATTTACATCATTTGGTCAATATAAGCCGATTTTTAACAATTAAGAAACTGAGTTTCATGTGTTAGAATGATAGGCGATCCAATGATAAAAATGAAACTTCCATAGGTACTTATTTCAAATTAATCGCTCTGAAAATTGTTCCTTCAATGGGTAGATAGGAAACATTCCCAACACAACAATCCAATAGAAATAATTTTACCATGGAATTGAAATTTAATGAAATGTGTGCTGCTTGAGTAATGGAAGTTTGGAAATCGGAGCATTCAACAGCTCTCCAGCACCTCATTGGTGTATCTACCTATAAAAATTGTAAGGGTCAAAAGTGTCAAGCTCTCATAATTTTTGTTCTCTGATTATCAAGAAGCCCTGCTGAAAATGTTCAGTGTCATTTTTATTTTTGTTTGTGAGCGGAAATTATTTTAAGGTTTCCTTGGCATTCTTGGTGTTCTTTGAGAATTTTTGTACTTTCTTTTTTATCAAATAATTAAAATTTTCATCGTAATTTTTGTCTATATTTAGGAGACTACATTATTCGATGATTATCTTCAGTAAGTATTAGATCTTTCCTCCAGCGACAATGTTTATTGAAATTATATGAGATCTATATAGTTTCATAGGTACTTACCTGGATCTTGATCAGTTTCATCATTCAGGAGTAAATGAAAACAAATTATTTTCGCTTGTTTCCTCAATTCGGGGCTCTGATGAATAAACCCTGTTTGACAGCAATGTTAGTATCTAGCTAAAATTCCGCCCTATAAAATCCTTAAAGCAGTATCAATATAGTGGTAGGCAGGGTGACAGGTTCTGTATAACTTAGGAAATTAAGCCCTACTCACTGAAAATATGTCATGTAATTTTGCTGCGGAGCATTGAAATTCCTTCTCTCAGTAAAAAATTTGGAATTTTCCAGTTTAAAGAGACTAAAGACTTAAACTTAAGTGAAGTAAAAACTTAAAATTTTTGTGAGCATTTTTATGAAAGACACCTAATGTTGATGTCAAATCAAAAGAGGACATTCCAAAATCAGGGAAAAGTTAGTGGCCTCTACGTTTAAAATACCAGAAAAGAATTTTCTGCACTCCGAAGTTGCACACAGTTTCCAGAAATTATGTTGAATTATTTATCAACAGAGAAATGAAAGGACTCTGAAAGTCTTTGTGGAAACTTTAAGGATTGCGGTAAGTAGTTTCCCAGTTTAGCCATGGCATTGAGATATTCGTTTTGTCATTAATCATTATCAATAAAAATATGCCTACCTTCTGGAAATGTTAGAAAACCAGGGTGGATGTAATCTGGTAATCCTTAATTAACTTACTGTAGATTTCTTACCTGCTAGACTGCCTGTTGAGTTGAAAACAATTTTCACTTTGAGACAGATTCTTATGTCCTGGTTCATGCTTTCGTAAGTTGAGTTGCAATGTCAATTCAGCCGTAGCTTTCAGCAGAAAATTTCTTCCTTGACGTGACGTTTGATGATTCATCGTTGAGATAGCTTTGAACTGATTGATGATAAATGACACTGGGAAGTGTCATTAATCGATGAATCAGAGATCAAAGTAAGATGTGAACAAAGCTGTAAGAGCACGGATCGTAGCGGACAAAAGTGAACTTCTGTTCTACGTTTCTAAACTGAGATTTATCTGAGAATGTTTGCAACACCGCATGGAGGTTTTCACTTCGTAATAAAGCTGAAAATTATTTATCACTGGGGGAGTTTCTTTGGTAAATTAGCATGCTTAAAGGTACGTCCTGATGTGAGAGAAAAACGATGGTAAAGATACCTGAGCGTAAGTATGTATGCCCTTGAGTGTTCACGAGTGCTAACAAACATGAAACAAGGAAACAAGACTGGATGAAGGTACTGTAATACCTAATTTACTTTAAAACTGCTAATAGAAGAGCCAAACGACATATCTCACTTATCTTGAATGTATAAACACTTGGTATCGCTCGGAGCAGCCTCGAACGAAATGGACTCATATCCATGGTAGAATTTGAGGAGTCAAAAGGCTGTAATGCCAGAAATATGTGAGCTTCACAATCGTGAATGGATTCAGGATCACATAATTTTAGTAAAGCGACTTTAAAGCACTTGATTTGAAACAGAAATGAAGGGAGAACAATGAGAGAAAAGAATGTTGAGGTTTTGAGTTCTAAGAAGGGGTATTCATAATTCACTTCACAATGAGGCGATAGACTTCTGCTCCAGGTTGTGAAACACGATGATAATGATTGTCACAAACATCGTTGAAGTCGTAAATGGATTGAAATCATTGAAACCAGATAATTTCATATTATCTCGATCGTTCTTGATGTCCATGAAATAGGGACTAACCTACCATTCGTGGTTTGTTTTGTTGTTCCGCTCGTGAGTTGCTGACTGCAGAGAGCACTAACACTGTCACTCTACCGTGTGTATGTGTTAGTAAATTCGGGTTTTACGATTTTTGGGACATAATCAAAGGTACAGGGTAAACGGTAAAAGAAAACCCCTACTTATTTAATATTTTTAGAATCCTCATATCTTCAGGATGTTCCCTGGAAATAACCATAATTTCATTCCAGAATACTGTAAGCGAGAAATTCAATGATAAGCGTCGGCAGGTCGGGTCGCCCCTTGCACCCAAAAAGCAGTTTAGAGACGATTTCTCTCTTATGGTGGCTTTAATCTAAGTGAAACTTTCAAGCGCACTAGACGGGAACATGACAATTCTTTTGATATGACATTATATAGGGCTCTGATGTCTCGTATTCTCCATAGCTTTGTCTGAAAGTGAAAATGGTCAAAGTGGAT